AGTTGTTAGTAGTATTTGTGAGACTCACTGTGCTGTCCTTACATATAGTAATTATATTCAAGACTTGCACGTCTCACTGCTTACAGTAGCTGGCAGTGCGGTGAAAATGGCAAGAGATCATTTGGATAAGCACTCATTTCGGTTGTTCATTCTAGGATTCCTAGCAGAAATCCAGAATGCCTCCAGCGCTTTCCTGGCGGAAACCTCAGTCTACGCTAAAATTTTGCACTTCACATCATAGTCGTTTCCGCAATGCTCTTCGATCAGATGCTTGCCCAGCGGTGTTGTCAGGTTGCCACGCCTTTTACGGCGGCTTCTTCCGCTCCTGCCGCGGTGGACTTGGCCTCCGAGGACGACGATCTGGTCGAAACGTTAGGCCGTTAATAAACAGTTCCACCTAACAACCTCGCAGGCACAAAAAGAATTGCACGCAAATAACAAATTAAACAGGATTAAGGGAGCAGAAGGGGGTAAGGCTCACAAATGTGTATGTGTTTCAGATTGACGACGAGTGCTGCCCTTCTCCCGCGGTACATGAAGAAGACTGAGAGCTCGCGCATGACTCGGGCCCAAATAAAATGCTTCTTGGCGCACTCGCGCGGGAAAGCCTTGTTTGTGCTAATTTGGAATTAATGTGAAGGCACTGGATATTCATTAGCATTGGAGCACGGTTTTTTACAAGCAGGCTATGACGACCAGAGGGGCATCGTGAGCAGTTGCGAGTAGGCAGTAGGCCCCATGCTCCTAATACCTCTGTAGGTTCGTTTGAAACGGTGCCAATTCGAGTGGAAAATAACCAGTTTCACTTTAAATTCACCACTTTTCAAATCAAATTCATCACCACTTTCCAAATCAAATTCACCACTCCGAGCCCCGCCTCAAAGGCCACGCCTACTTGCCAGCGCTGACATAGATTTCAAACCTTCTTTCATAACTTCTGCTTCTTTTGCTGACTTGACTTTGTGCCTTTTCTTGTCTCCGCCCATTCTCTAAAGAGTTTGGCAATCTAGCCTCTGTCCCCATGGCCAAGCCTACTTGCTTTTTTGGGCTGCTAAGTGAACCCCCGCCCACTATGAGAGGATCCGCCCACTTTGGAGAAGTCTCGCCCACTTTTGAAAATGGTGCAAATCGGCAGTATAGAGCCTCGGCTGGCATTCTAGGGTATTGCTGATCATTCGGAACGAAACATTGTCTGATTTCTTTGTTCCGTCGGGGCGCGGTCGCAGTGGATCTGGTGTGGTCCAGTTGATGAGCTGCCCGGACTCATAAGTGTGGTGAATTTTTTGGAAAGTGGTGGTGAATTTGGTTTGAAAAAATCAAAAATGAAAATGGTATAAATGCACGGCGTATGACAGAGAGAACAGAAAAATGAAGAACCAACAGAACCGAGCATTTTATCCCTCACCGTTTCGAATGTGAAATGCCCTCGCACCCATCCTTTCGTATAAACAAGAGAGGCAATAGAGAGGCATATTCCAATAAGATGGGTCCCGCTCTGGACGTAGGAACAACTTGAACCCGACCTTTCAGGAGTGAACACTACGGCTGATGTGAAGAAACGATTGTAAGCCGAAACGAATAGGGTAATTTGGCTCAAGCCCAGGGGTTTTGTGCAAAAACAAGTTGTGTTCAACTTGGGTGCTGTGCATTGGAGACATAATGATATGAAGAATTGTTGTTACGACCACTCACATTATCTTGTTTGATACAAACTCCTAGCCCAAAGACCTCGAAAGAATCCCATTAAGAAGCGCGGGGGGGGAGGCAGAAGGGGAGGATGATCACTTCCCAGTGACTGACTCGCAACAAAAACCAGCAGTTAAAAAGGTGTTTCTGCGGCCAAGTACTACCCGTG